GTCCAGAAGTAAGAAACGCATGGACGTAGCTTGCCCAATCTCACTCGGTGACCCCAGCCAGGCAGCCAGCCTGGACAATTGTTTCCTTGCGCTCATGCGTTCGGCCGAAGACGGCGGCTGGAACGCTGCCTCTCGCCCGCCGCTCTCGCGCACACCCTTTTTCCCGAGCGTCCCCAAAGAGGGAAGTACAGACTTTGCCTCTGTCCGGGGGCAGCCCGCCCCCCGGTGGCGTGGGAGTCCAGGCGCTGAGCATGGCCACGCCCTTTCCTGCCCGCCTGCGGAGGTCAGGCATCCCGAGTAGGAGGAGGAGGAGGAGGCGGAGAAGGAGGATGAGGGCGGAGGCGGAGGAGGCGGAGGAGGAGGAGGAGGAGAAACGCACTAAAGAGCGTCTGGCCGACTGCCAAATTTAAGATCCACGCGGCGCGCGCGCTGCAGTCCTGGCCGACCATACCGCGAAGCTTGCATCCCACGAACCCCTGCCAAGTGGCCCTTTCGAATGGCTCGAACGGTATCCTTCGTTCGTTCTTTACCCACGCGCGTGGCCTGTGCGCAAATCTGTTTCCCAGCAAGCGCGATGTCAAACCTCCATAAGTACCCTGGCAGACTGTCTGTCTCCATCCTTCCCTCCCTCCCTCGCATCCCTCCGTTCCTCCCTCTCGTCTGTCTCCCTCCCCCCCACAGACAAGGAGGGGAAGGGGCAGCGAGATATTGAAAGGGCACGGCAAAAAGGTGATACGGGCGGGGGGAAACGATGCTCAGGAAGGCGGGAAGACGGACGAGCAATCGAAGGCCCGCTTTTTCAATCGCTAGGAGCGGCTCCTGCCCCCCCCAGCAAGCGGAAAAGCCCTTAAAAACTGGGGCCTGCCCCGACAGCTGACGTTGCAGGGCTAACTTGCGAGACGAGAGCCAGAGGGCCAGATTGAAGAGGCCCTGGAACACACAAATAAATAGACACAAATAACTGGATTCCCCTATGTGTTCCGATATTTTCGGGGTTGTTGTCTTCCCCCCCACTTCCCATATTTTCCTACATTTTCTGGGGATCGACGATTAATTGAGTCTGTGTGTTTTCCCCCCTCCTGATAGATGCCTCCTGCCCCTCTGCCCCATATCGCCTGCAGGAGGCTGGGAGGCGCCCGCGCAGCCCACGAAAGCGCCGCGCAGAGGCGGAGGACAGGTGCTCGGCTAAGCAGCGGTTCAACACAGGACCTGGGATCGTTGTGCAATTGCTGGGAGCACACACCCCTCCCCCACACATTTACAAGCATACAGATACACATGTACAAACATACATATACACATGTATATGTATATGTGTGTACACACTTGTACATGTAAATGCATATGTATGAGACTGTGTATGTATACTATAGAGATACGTGTGTATACACAGAAACATCGTGGAGCACCCTGCGGAGGAAGAAGGTTTGGGGATGGGCAACTTGCATGTCGACGTGTACGTCGATTGCAGCTCGGACAGTATTTCGACCTAAGATTCACCTTGAATTGGGACTTGAATAATGGTATGCACTTCGACGTGCAAGTGTATTGCATCCTGATGTGCATGTTGACGCCGCCGTATTTAGCATTTCGACTTGTACCTCGATTCCACTTGGATGTGTCATATAATATGCGTGAGTTTGCAATCCGAGGTGCATTTCGGTATGGCGTCAGTTTCCCATTCGATGAGCACTTCCACACGCACCCGATGTGTGATTGGACTTCGATGGAAGCTCGACTGCATGTCCCCTTGCAAATCGAGGTGGGATCCGGTTGCAGCCGTGTGCCCATCTCGACATGGACTCCACCTGCAGCCTCGGAGCTCTCACGTGCCCCCCCAGCACGGCACCGGGACCTGGGGGCTCCTGCCTGCACTGGTCGAGACGCACGGGTCGGTGGCCGCCCGCAGGGGGGCTCGTGAGCGCCACCGTGCGCCGCGCGGGCCTCCCAAGGGCTTCGCCCGGATGCTGGCCGCCCCGTGGGCACCCCGCGCGCTCGTGGCCAGCGCCAGGGAGTCACCGCAGTCGCGGCCGCACGGGTTGATGCACGACAGGCTGCGGGCTGGAGGGCGGGGCGATGGACTGCGCGAGAGCGGTGGCATCGACAACCCATTCGGGAACATCCAGTTCACGCACCAGACCGATTACACCACGCAGCCTGCACCACACGCATTGCCCCGCATAGCTTACACCACATAGACTGCGCCACATAGGTTGCACTACAGACCCTGCGCCACGAGAAACACAACTGAAGTACAAATAACGCACTCTTCGGGGTCCTCGGTTGCCAACTTCAACCTGCACTTCGATTCCGGTTTGATTTGAACGTGATTTTCACTTATAGATTTACATGTCGATGTCCACTTCGATTGCATATGGATGTGCATCTGATGGGCATCTCGGCTGCAGCTATAAGTGAGAAGTTCCAATTGACTTGCACGGCTGATAGTTCGGCGTACGTTTACAATCCAGGTCGATGTGCAGTTCAAATGACATTTCGATTGGCATATCGTCTGACATTGAAATTGCACTTCTGGTTGCATGTCCCACGTGACAAACGCTGGACAACCCGCGGGACAACCACGGGACATCCCGCGGGACAACCCACGGGGCCATCAACAGGACAAACCACAGGACAACCCGCGACAACCGCGAGACCATCCATGGGACAAAAAGCCGCGGGACAACCTACGGGACAACCACGGGACAAACCACGGGATAACCGCCGGACAAGCACGGACCGAGGCGAGGAATCGCATTACTACAAGAGAACCTTGTTAACCGAAACGGATGTCCTGGTTTTGTAAAGTTCGCTCTCACCCGGCCCATCTGCATTATACGTGTATAAGTATGTATATATATATGTATATACATGGATCTGCTTGCACCATATGCAAAGTAGATATACGCAACTATACTTGTATATAGGTAGAGCTGCATGTACAAGTATAAGCGCGTGCACATGTACGTATACACACATGACGAATTCATACGGCATGCGCAGGGCCCGGAACCCAACTTGCCACATCTCTTGGGTATCCCGCGTGCCCTGTGGGGCCCAGGTCAGATTGTCGCGTGACTGTGTTGGGCCCAAGGGGGTACCAAGACGGGCCAAGAGGGCCCTAAGAGGCCTTTCGGACGGTCCAAGAGGACTCCGAATCGCCGAACGATCGGCCGAAGATGCCCAAGATGGCGTCCGGTCGGCCGAAAGAAACTCCCGAGACGCCCGAGGGTTTCAATGGTGTTTCGGTTCTCCACTTGTCGGGCTTCGGACGCTCGAAGAAGTCCCAAGAGGCTCCCAGGCCCGCCCCAGGACGGCCCCAGAGGCCCCCAAGAGGCCCCCAAGACGGCCCAGGAGGACCCCAAGACGGCCCAAGAGGCGCCAAAGACGGCCCAAGAAGGCCCCAAGCGCCAAAGATGGCCCACGAAGGCCCCAAGACGGCCCCAAGAAGGGCCCAAGAGGGGGAACACGAACCGAAAATCTCAGCCTTCCACCCCGAGAGGCGCCGAGGAGGCCCCAAGAGTCCCCCGAAAGGCCCCAGGCCCCCGAGAGGCCCAAAAGAGGCCCAAAAGAGGCCCCAAAACAGTCCCTCATAGGCGTCAGAACTCCCTCCAGGAGGCCCTCGAGAAGCCAGCCACGAGATCCCAGCGAGCATCCAAGAGGACTCTTACCCACAATCCAGGCACGGTGGCGGGGTGGCCTGAAGGCCATGGCCAAGAGGCCCCGTCGATGCACGCAGAGGCCCCTAAGAGGTCCCCTAAGAGGCTCCAGGAGAACCCCAAGAGGCCCCAGGAGGCTCCTAAGAGGCCCTTCTGGAACTCCTCAGAAGGCTCCCACGAAGCCCCAAGAGGCATCAAGAGAGCCTCAAGAGGCTTCCTCATATTCCCTCTCCTCCCTCTCCTCGTTCTCCTCCTCCTCTTCCTCCTCCTCCTCCTCCTCCTCCTCCTCCTCCTCCTCCTGCTTCTCCTCCCTCCTGCTCCTCCTCCTCCTCCTCCTCCTCGTCCTCGTCCTCTTCCTCCTCCTCCTCCTCCTCCTCCTCCTCCTCCTCCTCCTCCTCCTCCTCCTTCCTATCCACAATGATCCCCCAAGGATTTCCACAACGGGTGGGGCAACACATGGTCCAATAGCTTGGCCATACTTCGGCCCAACGTTTGGCCGCATGGGCGTTTCCAAACAGCAGGGGACGGCGGTGTTTCGCCGCTGGCGCCTTAGAAAGATGCACGTAAATCAAACATCCAGCTATGTTTATATATAGATCTCCTCACGTTGGTTTTCAGGCATACGTGCATGCAAGCACTAAGACCGATCAACAAATATACACACAAGTCGTCCTTGTCAGCAGTATTGGCCTGGGCACTCCTGAGGTATTGCAGAAGGGCTCCGAAACCCTCCTTTGAGAAACCTTCGCTCTGTCCCGGGGATCTTCCCTGCCACCCGCTCTGCCGAAACACACGGGCGTGTGCGGCAAGTGTAAGGAACCCATCGCGCGAGTCCAGGCCGAAGGGGACGCTTGCCATCGCTCGGACGTCCATTTCCCGTGCATGTGTCGGTTTCGTGCGCGTTTTTTTCCTAAAGATCCAGGATGCCCCTCAATGGTCCTCGCCGAGAAAAAATGCACACGTCCGAGCGATGCCAAGGACGACGCGGTGAGGACGGGCCGCGTCCGACCCGAGCGCCGTCGACTCGAAGAGCGGGCCCTCCAACCTGGTCCAACCTCAGAGGTAGGCACGCGACGGAGCAGGGACTGCAGCAACTGCGCGATCCCGGCCACACGGCGCAACTGAGAACCTCCACCAACCCGGGCGTGTGCCAGAGATGGTCTCTCCCTGCTTAGGGGGAAAACAAAGCTACCTCGCTTTTGACCACCCTCGCTTCCAAGAGATACCAAACGATGCCAAACTACGGCCTGTACTGGTCAGGCCGCTTGACGAGGAGGCGCGTGGTATGACTTGGTTTTGCCTGGAAGCGAAAGCGGGGTAGGTAATTCACGCTCTCCCTGCTCATGCCACTCTCTGGGCACGGCCCTGGACAGGGCGAGGGCGCCGGACCGGCTCTTCAGGCCGCCTCGGCTCCCTATATAGTATGGAGCGATGCCTCCTCCCATTGGGAGCAGCGCGCGCCGCCAGGAGACGTCCACACCCGCAGCCAGGGGTGCCCCCGCCCTCGATCCCCTGGGAGCCCCTTGCCGAGGCAGTGCACCACAACCCCCCCGCCCCTCCCTACCCCCCGAAGAACCCGGAGGTCCGAGCCCCCCCCCGCCCTCCCCGGGATCCCCCAGGGGGTTTCGAACCCCCTCCCCCCTCCCCAGGCCCCCTGGGGGGGGTTCGAACCCGCCCCCCCCACTGGCCGCCGGCCGACGACGACGACGACGACGACGACGATACAACGACGACGACGACGACGACGACGACGACGACGACGACGACGACGACGACGACGACGACGACGACGGGGGCGGACCCTATCGGACGGGTCGGGCGGACGGATCATATCGGGCGGCTGGTGTCGGGCGGGTGGGACACTAAAGTCTGATGCGTCTACAGCATGACACATGAGAACCATATCGGGCGGGTCGGGCGGGCGGACCCTATCGAGCGGGTCGGGCTGGGCGGGCGGGACACCAAAGTCTGATGCCTCTACAGCGTGACACATGAAAATCCTAGGGGGCGGGTCGGGACGGGCAGACTCTATCGGGCGGGTCGGGACGGGCGGACCCTAACGGGCGGGTCGGGTCGGGAGGGCGGGTCACTAGAGTCTGATGCGTATACAGCATGACACATGAGCACCTTCACGGGCGGGCCGGGACGGGCGGACCCTATCGGGCGTGGCGGGTCGGGACGGGCGGACCCTATCGGGCGAGCGGACCCTCACAGGCGGGTCGGGCTGGACAGGCGGGACACTAAAGTCTGATGCGTATACAGCAAGACACAGGAGCACCCTAATGAGCGGGTCGGGACGGGCGGACCCAGCGGGTCGGGACGGGCAATCCCTATCGGGCGGGTCGGGTCGGACAGGCGGGACACTAAAGTCTGA